AGTAGGTCATTTTTTCATTGCAAAGATAAAAGTATTTGTTTAATTTATAAAAACATCTAGTATAAAAACTTGATACTGCATTTATTTAAACGACTGATAATGTTAACTTCCTACTATGACGAGTCTTTTGATAAATGCTTGCTTTACGAATAAGTAGACAGACTGTATGTATGTTTTAACAAAGTACCTATAGTTTAACAATTTATTATACATAATAGGTTTCAAAGCACGAATATCGCTAACAGTGTTTATAGCGGAAGTGTCTGGCACAACTGTCGAATACTTATCTTATACATAACAAATAAGGATAATTTTATTAAATAAATCTCGCAATACCTAATAGCAAACATCTAACAGGGCTAAATAGACTTACATTTATCAACAATCATGAACAATAATTTGTCCAAAAATGAAAAAAATGAAGAAGAAAATAACTTTAATTCATTTAAAATACAGAGTAAACAAAGCTATTGATACATCTACATTTAGTATAAAGGATCAAGTGACCTTTGGAAGCAACACGTGGATCTTTATAACCGCAGTTCTCAGTAGCGCCACAGACTAACTAAACTTCATTATTATTGTATCGAATTACGGCAGTATGACAACAGAGGGGAGATAAAGCATTGTTTGGTAATGTCTACTGTTAAATTGTGTACACTGTGATAGTCGTCCAACTCTTTGTTTATCTGTATTTAGTCGTCGAGATTGTATTTTTTTTGTGTAGATTTTATATAATGTTAAATATGCCAAAAGTTATTTTTATATTCTACGTTATCAAAAATGTGCATTTTGAGAAGTTGTGGATGACATTCATTTTTAACATGAATAATAAAATTCGCGTGTAAAATAAATTTAATGACGTCACTGGCCCCAGAACGTAGATTACATATTTAGATACATGTTTTTGTAGAATCTCGTGTATTGGTTTTTGTTAAGTTAACTCATAAATTATCCTTTTAGATAATTTGTTAATTAGTTATATTATATTCGGATAGTCAATTATAATATTGATACATTATACATTTAGTTTTAATTAAGTTTGTGGGCAGCCAATATACATACAGACCTACCAACACCTACTATGTTTGTATAATAATTCAATAGTCTGCTAAAAACACGGAAGTTGAGGCCCTTCAAATGTCAAATAAGGTACTATGTCGATAAAAAATAATATGGTTACCTACTACATTCTCTATATATAGAAATCATTATGTTCTATTGAAGTAAGTATTCCTGTTACTGTTAACAGTTTCTTGATTTATTTTAATTTTCAGAGGTCTAATGTATTAAGAGGCCATGGTTGAAATATTAAAGTTGACTTGGTTGCCGACAACCAGATAATCGCGTAACCAAGTTGACCTAATACCTACCTACTTTAATAAAGTTCACTTTTTTTTCTAGGTCGTATCAATAGGCATTATTTCAATGTAACATTATTTCTATTGCTATCAGTGGCCGGTTACAATGAACCTGTATAGCATATTCACAGCGGAATACAAATACATATTGTATATTCGTTCCTAATAATAATATATACATTGTATATTATATACATGTAATGATAAGGAGTGAACTATTAGCCGCAATGTGTGTGTCGACCACAGTGTTTGTGTCGAAACAATCTTCGCAATTAACAATTGTTTTAATCGTTGATTAGCTGACAATATGTTTATGACCGGCAACAATGTATAATATAATTTGTAAATAAAGAAAACTTAGTGGAGTCGGTGTCCTTACTCAATGTATCCTTATAATGATAGTAAGTAATTTCAAAATCAGTACTTATATATGCGTAGTAAAATAAATAGTTTTTACCTAGATACTCATTTAGGTATTCGTCCGTATAAACCTAGGTTTTGTTTTATTATAAGTTAGGATCTATCGTAATCTATGAAATTCAGGTGTACATGTCAAACAACTAATTAATAATTATAATGAAAACACGACTTTGGTAATAGTTTAATATACATCACTTAATATATAATTGAATATTTTCATAACTAGCAGTTGCAGCTCCAAGAGTCCTAGTCGCTACTATGTTTTCCGCAGGTCGATCACAAAAATAAATAATATTTTGTTGCTTATTGTATTATTCCAGGTAATTGTTAGGCTGTTATAATACATTTTTGTAGCTTCATAATCGCATTATTACAGAGAAAAAGTAGATAAAACGAAGGTGCTACGTCGCGTAGAGGACGTAGCCAGTGCTACGAAACTTAAATTTTGATCATTTGAAATGTCAATACGGTAAAAAATTAATTAGTATATAGCCTGATATGTTGTAAGGGACAATTCAATACTTGATTTACGTAAGTAACTGTGTATGATGGTAGTTTTCAAAATGTAAATCGGGATTGAGGTGTTTAGACTTCGCACTGGAAAATATGCAAACAGATATAAATATCAAATCACATAAAGATATGTCCCCACGATAACACCCACGTGTGTTATCTTCTACCACCTGAACATTTCATAAAATGAATTGAGCTGCTGTTTCATGACGTATGGTGATTATCAATATGGTGATTAGTAAGCCAGTAGATATTGTGGGTCAATACCATCTGTTATCACCATTTATCTGATTATGTGATTGATCGTGGTCACGTTTTCAGACAATGAGACTTAGGTAGATATGTTACATTGTAAAAGAATACCTGTGCATAGGTATATCCTTCAGGTGTGATAATTGATTTACGATAATAGCTCTTGTTGTAATGTGCATAAAGATGCGGTCGAAGTAATGTTGATTTCGTTTACTTTGTGCGTGTACATTATGTTGGATTCAGTTTTAATTTTGTGTATTGTTTTGTTGGCAAAAGTCAATGATCTCGACTCATTTGATTGCTGCTCAAAAGGGGTCAAATTTTGTTTTGCTTTACGCGAATTTATTTGCATTGGTTTTATAATTCCTTTCGATTTAGACGAAGTTTTGAAGAAGTATTTCATTTTTTTTTCGAAGCTGTATGTAACAAGACCTACATATTCAAATGAAGTCCTTAATAAAATTATATACGTATAAAATATCTACATATCTAGAAATATACTTGTGACTTGTAGATAATTAACATGAGTTTCTCATTGATAGCGGGTCGCAAATCTTATGATATTCGTGATTTAATCACAGATTAATTAAGTATTTATAATATTGTTTAATTTAAGTATATCAGCCTGGACCGTGTGACAAGTCTGATGATTACCTAGTGGTATGAACATGACCACTTTTTTATTTCTTCTAAGATTTTATCTCTTTTAACCTTTGTTTTTTCTACGAATGGAACTACGGGTTTCGATTAGAGGGCAGAGAGAAGCTGAATTCATTGATTTATTTATGTATTATTATAGTTTAATGAAGTATATCTGATATCCGACGCGACGCTGCGGAGGACTTAACGGGTTGCCGTGGGCTCCGGCTCGGAGAGCAGGAGTGGGAACGGGTGAATTTTTTATCCTAGTTTATATTTTAGAACACTTACTGTGTAATTATTGGTAGGTATCAGATACCGTTCTATTGTATATTGCAGCGATAAAAACGTGTGTCGTTATACTAAGTATGTTATCTTATTACTTTTTAGAATAATCTTAGGAAGTCTGATTGCATTTTATACTTATCGATATATACCTATATAGGTGTCAATATATTAAAACGATTACAATATAAAATGTTACAAGTTCCTATTTGACTAAACAAAGATAGGATTGTCACTATGCAGTACATGTTCCCTGTAGTCAAGGTAAATTTTATTTTAATTCGTTGCTTTTTGTGTAAATCGTGTAATTAGAGGTGATAACATTTTTATATGACCTTTGATACTTATTTATAATACTAGCTTCTGCCCGCGACTTCGTACGCGCAATCCCGTTTCTCCCATTCTCGTAGGATTTTCAGGACATTTTCCTATCATATGTACAAACACAACAAAAAATCAGCAAAATCGGTCCAGCCGTTCTCAAGTTATGGTGTGACAACGGGAAACGGGTTCTATTTTTATATATAGATCTGTTCCCTAGATAAATTGCATTTAGACGCCAGTCGAGCAAGTAAATTTAAAATTCAATACATGGGTTGTATACAGTGTTTTTCATCATACCTACACTGTTTTTGACAAATATATTACCTATGTGTATAATTTCTTTTTCTTGGTGGCCAAGGTGCATACATTGTCAATTCTATTTTCGACTTGCGTTTGTATGACAGAGAATAGAAAATTGGATGCATTAAATCACATCTTTTAACACAATATGATATTTTTATTATTATACCTATTATATTTAATGTTATGTAAACTTGTTCTTTGCTTGGCAACATTATAATTTGTAATATTAATAATTTTTAATATAATATTTCGCCATTTGTTTTTATTTTACGTCTAGACATTGACATTGGTTTAATATAGTATTATTATGTGCATTATTTTATTTTAACGTTTTCTCATAAAAACTTGAAATATCTGATTGGCAGGCACCTGATAACTGCAAGTGCAAAACATAAACAAGACCACATCTTATTGAACAACTTGACAGTTTTGGCTTGCATACAGTTTTTATCGCAAATATATCTTAAAGTGGAACTGTTATATAACCTATTATACGTGTTATATAACTATTATAAAAAAGAGTATTAGGTTATTCCTACTTCACAAATGAAATCGTTGTTTAAGACTGACCTACGTTTTGTTCATTATTAATTACAATAGTCTACTAACTTTTTATGTCACTTGTATAAGAAACAAGGTCTGTATGCTTATCAAAACTAGTGGACATTTAGATTGTTGTTGCTATTTCATGACGCAACTGTCGTATAACTCTCCCACCTAACAAAAATTGGATTTGGTATCAATATGGTGCAGATTACTAAAGAAAATCAAGCTTCAAAAAATTTGCAGGAGGTCAATGTACTTTAAAAAATCTAACATGTCTACTAGACTACGTAATTCGAACTTCGAACGCCAAAAATAACAATGGCTGTGTTGCAGATAATAAATTAAGAATAGACTCACGTATATCCCGCTAGGATGTCCATGAGAGTGCTCTTGCCGGCTCCGGACTGTCCCATAATGACCGTCAGCTCGCCAGCGTTGAAGGTGCCGCATACTTCGTTGAGGATCGTCTTGCGTCCTGGGACGTAGAGGAAAATTAGTCATTGTATTGACAAGGAATTTTAAATCGACAGTAACAATAATTTGATGTTATGATTTTCCGTGCTAGTACGACACACCAAGCTGCCGTAAACTTAATAGTTATTTTCTTTTATGCTTTGAATTTGATTTTTTTTCAATTTGAATTCCGAATTCTGATCTTCTCAATAATTTAAAAAAATATTCATTTAAACTGCACGGTGTTTCATACTATTCTATGCGGCCTGTAAGTTCAGTCATTTGACTTTGAACTCTATTGAAGAAGATTATTAATTCTACTATTTGAGCAGTCTGCTTACATTATTAGGTCAACATTTTGTTTGTTTATCACCTTAGTCTACTTTCAACCGCCCACGTGTGATGTGTTAAACAGTTTGGTAATCATTGGATACTCTTAGAACTTCTAAGATAATTTGTATTGCTACATTAAAGATGCTATTGTTTTTAAGATTATTACTAAGATATAACAAAATGCCCTCCACTTAAAAAAAACATGAAAAATTTAAAATATTGGAGTTCTTAGCCAAAATAATATTTAAAATTAAAATGACTTTAGCTAAACATTATTTTCATTAGTACTTATAATATTTTATTTCGAAATATTAATAAATTTGGATCCTGTAGTGTTAATAATATAAAGGCAGCAATTAAATAACAGAAATACGAATAAATAATATCAATTATAAGAAGTAAATCAATTCTAATGCTCAATTAATTACAAAAACTGACCTAAGTTCTCATATACTTAGGTATAGTTTACTAGTGAGCTGGAGGACGCTAGACTTTGACCGTAATATTATCATAATTAAATATCAATGAGCATTAGCGACAAATTCAATAGTGATAAGTATTAATTATTAATTACACAAGGAACATCTTGTATTTCTGTCTATTTAGATTTTGATATGGAACCGTATTATTGTTCAAACAAATACAATCTCTACAATAGACTTGAGTACCTATGGACATTTTTTATATTTAAACAGAGTAAACATCAACTTCTGAAACTTTAATAATTGGTCTTGTAATATGAACTAATTGAACTATTAACATCTTTATAACAAACATTTTTTAAATCTTTAACGGCGGTTTAATAAAAAAAAAAAGTAAATAATAGACATTAAATCTATCAGTAATTTCTCATATTTCTACACAAATGTAGACAAACTATTGTTTATGTCAGAATTACAATTAAAAAAATAATCTTCTTTTTCTAAATTTAAAATTTGATACTGCAATACGAGTATCAACCTATGGAACATAATTAAATACCTTTATACATACATGAACGGCTCCTAAACCGATTTTTGCGTGTTCAAATTAACAGGTAAACATCAGATTTCGTAAAATTAGTTCATTGACATTACCAAAATTGAGTAAGGAGGTTCTTTACTCGCGTCTCTTCACCATAAACTGATAATCAACAGACTGCCACCAAATAAAAATGGCGCCTAGCCGCTTTGTAATCTTGTGCCTTTAGAAAACGACTATTTCCGTACAAATGAAGTTAAAGGTCAGATCTCGTTTCCTTATAAAGGAGTTTGTGACGTTTTACTGGGGGGCTAGTGACATCCGTTATAATGAAATCATAATCATTTGATATCGTATGATTCTGCTTTGAGCTAGTAGAAAAATGGCGTATACGCTAGTTGGAACAAAAAGTCAATGTATGAGATTTACATACTTCTCGTATGTAAATTTGAATTCCATATCAACATTAATATTTTAATGGATTAGGTTTTTATATCATTACTTACTAATGTACAGTATTTGTACAAATAGGTTTTTTAAGGGTGGAAAATCATCGAATGACTTCTCCCGCCTGGGTGAGGCAGAAGGGAGTGTCAGACTCTTACTGACTATAAACCACCCTTCTCTTGCACTTCAAACCGGAGCCCTGGTAACCCGCTAGGTTCTCTGCGATTTCGCACAATTATAGGATAGTGTGTCTATCTATATTATTACCGCTGTGAGTTTTGAAAATGGAAAAACGTATTTTGCGTGACTCTGCGATGGAGTACGAGACCCCTGGTTCAGTAGGTACTCGCGGTCCCTCAATTAATAAAGCCATCAATATTCATTTTTGTTTGGGTGATATTACCTACTCTTTATTTGATATACCTTTATATAAATATACTTATGGATACAATGTAACTTATCACGAAAAAGAATCTAAAGGCATTTGACGTATTGTAGACAAATTATAAATTCTTTTAAAGATAATTTAAATACCTTATCAATTGTCGTACGATAATGCAGACTGTCTCGAACGGAACGATGAATTAATTATTATATTAAGTGATAAAGGATATGCCTAACAATAAGGACTTTGACAATCATATTATGAAGTCATGTAATTTGGTATACAACTCTATCTATATACCATTTGTACTAGGTACTCGTATCAGTTAAGAAAGATGATTTACATTAAATATTTACTTTATTTGTATACGTTTTCTTCTTGTCCAACTTATCATTATGTAGATTTATGTTTGCTTGTGTAACTATATAATACGTTAATTGGTTTTCTCAAAGGTTATTTAAGACTTATCGGATGTTTAATAATTTGATACTTTAATTTAGTCTAAAGTACCTAATAGTACTATTAGGTATGCTTAATATGCATGATGTTCGATGTAAAAACTATATTTGGCTAAAAACCAAATGGCATAAATAAGAGTCGATTCAAATTCATCAAATATATAGATATATCATAATATATGGGATTGACATTGACATTCGACAAATTATGCCAAGTTCATGTTAACGCCATATATTGATTTTTCTATTCATTTGATTCGACTGGCGTTTATGCCATTTGTCTAGGAAGTTATGACATAACGTTTCATTTACCAGTCATTCTTCGCGATTAACGAGGTATTTTATCCTCGATCAAATAGTTTACATAATTGCTCCAGGCAGTTAGCAACACTCAATTATGAAATAGGCGCAACTCATTCCATTCATTCTAATTTAGTGTCCAGTATTACTACGTAACTCATATTATATTTTAATGTCAATTTAGAAGATGGCAGCGAAGTTCAATGGCCGCAAATCTATTCATTTCATACATTTTATACATCTCATACACGAAATGAAATGACCTTACATGACAATGGTATTATATGTACAATTTTGTATAGACGATTGAAGATAAGTGCTACTTCTAATACAAGTATGCCCATTGTATATAAATTGTCGTTGTAATGTATCTTTATATCTTGTAATTGAATAATGAAAGTGTGATAAGTGACTTGGGAATTATTATGTTAAGTATGAATCGTGTGCTGTGTTGAGTAATCGAGTTGTGCCTTTAATAGGAGACAACTCCCATGTCAATATGTATATGGGACTTTTAATAATACTTTTTTTTATGGGATAAGCCGGTAAAGTAATAAGCCGGCAATGAGTTAACTCATTATGACACAATGCCATGTTTTGTGCATAAACTGAGTGACTGTTTCAACTTTTTACATTTTATTTCATCGTTTAACAACAAAAAACATATTTTTACGTATTTTATTTTATATTCGAGTCCAGGCATTATTCATAATAATTATTATTGCTAGTTGTATAGAGGTCCTATAGAGGCAGAAAAGGTTATATAGTGTTATTTACTCCAAGTATAGAAATACATATTGTATTTATTTATGAGGACCTATATACTCGTAAGTCTAATCTTGAAGCATGGTGGACTGATTATTTCACTATCACACCGACAAATTATCTGATTATGTAACTGCATTAAGTATGTTAGTGATAACAACAGCGTCTTGTTTCCTTTTCAGTATTCTCCTATTTGATGCATACAAGCATGTAAGTTCCTGAGGCTTTGGTATTAGTTTATCTTACGTGTAAAATAAACGAAACGGGTACCCTAATTGGTTGGTTCGATAGAGCCGGCCAATCAGAGCTCCGAATGCGGTATACGCGATATAGATACTTTAAACATAAAAGAAACTCATACTAAAGTTTCTGTACTATCTCTATTAAGTTATTTATGACTTACCACAGTACAGAGTCATTAATAACCCTATCCTTAGCAACTGTTTTCGGAACAAAATTAATACTACGGAACTGTTGGAGTAATCATTGGAGATGTCTCTGAGTACGGCAGTTAGTGTTTATTTATGTAATAGTTGGTGCGGTGGCTGGGCAACCAGGTACCGCGTAAAGTGTCGCGGTTTCGATTCCCGCACGGAGCAACTCCTTGTGTGATACACAAATAGTTGTCCAGGGTGTATGTGAACTTGTATATTTGTAAACGCACCCACGACACAGGTGAAAATCCTAGCGTGGTGGCAACGTGTTTTAAGTCACTATTAAATAACTTTTTAAGCAAATGTTGGCACTTATTGTTACTGATCTCTTATTCGTGTTAAAAGAGCTTTTCTTAGGCAACTCTTCTTCTGCTAGCAGTGGAATATTTAGTACGCTGATATGATGATGACAATGAATCAATTTCAGGGTAAATAAATACTTAGATATAAAATGTATTCAAAAGGAAGCTCTTATATAGGAAAATTGTCATATATGTAGATATAGGAACACGGACACGGAAATGTAGCCCGTGGCTTGTTGCGGAAGATATTTAATCTTTGTAAAGCTAATTATGTCTTAAGGTACTGCATTAGAGTAATAAAATATATTCGAGTTCTTATTTAGTTTTCGTTTTTAATATTTTTTTTTATTTTTTTTTCGTTCAAAACAAAACGAAAGTATTGCGATTCAAACATTCCATTACCTGCTGTGATTACTATCAGGATTAATTATATTAGAAGTAATCTGTAACTTTGACTGAGACAGTAAAACGTTCCTTTAATTGAAATGGCGCATGGCAATGGGATTGTATTAACTTTATCGCATTAACTAGAAACTATAAAATAAAGTCGAGTATGGTAATGTCGTTTAAAGGTTTAAGACAGATTATATACTTTAGCAAGTTCTTAAGTGTTTTGCATAGCAATCCTTTAGTACTTT